CCTATCATGCTATATTTGACAAATATATTGTAGGGCCATACCTATATAAAACATGTCTGTGAAGTTTTTTTTTCAAAATACCAAACAGATCCTACATTTTAGCCATGCCTCATTTCGCTCTATTTGCTCTTTCCAGCCCTGTTTTTGCAGGGGCTGATTCTGTGACGTAGCTTTAATGCAAATGAGCTGCAGCTGACCACGCCCCCCTGCAGGAGAGGTGAGCGTGCTCTGAGATCAGCTGCTGGGCTCTCAGAAGAGGGGGAGAAAAAGAGATCTCCGTCCTCCGTGTTTTATTCTTATATGATTATATAGAGTCATTATTCATTTGTTTTAAAGCAGCAGGGGCAAACGCTTGCCTCGGGGAGGGAGAAAAAAAGCCACAGCGGAGAATAAACAGAAGGGCAACCATGGCAACCATGCGCGGGAAGTCTTCTTCGCTGCTTTTGTGGCAGACTACAGCGCCACTTACAGGCCTGGCATATGTACTACAACGTTTCCAGCGCTTTCGAGCGGCAATGGCCGGTCGTGGCCCAACCTCTCATATAGGCGGAGCTCCCCGTTTCTGACATCAGAACAATTAAAATCTGTATCAAATACTTTGTAGCCCCGTTTTTAGAGATTTGGGTAGGGAGAAAAAGAGAGAGGGTTGTGTTTTCTGACACTTGGTGAGTTCCCCGACATATTCATGTATAAAAGACGTACAAAAGTGCATTTTGCATGATAGGTCCCCTTTAAATATCTGCCACAACATAAGTAACCGGATCAAAGTAACATTACGTAGCCTACAGTCCGCGGCACTGTGAGAGCAGACGTTGACGTGTCCTATTATCATTCATATCACATAATAATGAAGAATATATCTCCTTATCTGAGTCAGCTTCTTGAGCCGTATCTGGCCGTGCAACACTCACAGTGTCACACATTTTAATTCATGAAGTATGACGCTTCTCCATGTCTGTGATTGGTCAAAGATCACGTTTGGTTGGGTTAAGATAACTCAAAGATATCCAGGATCTGTTGAACTACAAGAAAGAACAGGTTGGGAACCATTGTTTTAAATTAATAATAATGATACATGAAACTTATATAACGCTTTTCAAAAAACTCAAAAACAAAGAAAATACATAAAGAGACATGTCTTTTTACGTTTTAAATGTTATTTTTAAAACACAACACTCGTTACTATGGTATTATTTTTTCTTTCACAAACCAAACTTTTTTTCTCATATTTTCGTTTTTCTCCACAAAACACAAGTATATCATTTTTTTTCTCACATTTCCGACATATTAAAGTGTAGTTTGTTGAAAATATGATAGAAAACAACGAAGCAAAAGCCTATATTTATTTAGCGGGAGGACCAACACTGTAAAAAGTAAAGGTTCAGTTTGATGAGGATACAAACAGACAAACTGAAAACACATTTCTAGTCCAACAAATATCCGTGCTTACAGCAAATTATAGTTTAAAACAACTACTACTTTTCTTAAGAAACAAGGAGACAACACTACAAACTTTTAATCATTTATTTAACCGCATAGAAAAATCCAGCACAGACAACAGCCTTTTGTTCGGTACGTCAGTGCTTCTGAAACTGAAGAAAGACAGACGATAAAAAGCAGCAAACGTAAGGCACTAAATCTCTACTGAGTGTTTAGAATTGATCATGAGAAAGAAAAATAAACCCAAAAACAAGACAAATACACATATGGAAACCCGCATCAACGAGACAAACGGACGATTAAAACAACATCTAAAGAAATTCTGCAGAGCTTGTATTTGTCCGACTCTTCTAACCCGAGTCCTGAGGGATTTGATGAGGCCTTTTAAAGCTTCTCTTTGCTTTCAGCAGAAGTGCAACGCTAAACTTGATTTATGCTTTTAGCTGAATTATTGTTTAAAGTTGTACGAGGCACTATAACAGATAGCGATCAGCCGTTTATAGAAAGATAAAGCTGTGAGGCTATAACAAAAAGAGGGTTAGCTTAGCACAAAGACTGGGAACAGCTAGCCTGAAAAAAAAAGGGAGAATATCCAGAGTACTGTCGTCCGATTGGCTGAAAACTAATAACCTCTATCCAAGCCCCGCCCCCTATGGGAGGAGCTAAACACATCATTATCTAGCTTAGCTTAGCACAAAGACTGGAAACAGTTGGAAACTCCGAAAAAAAAATATTTAAAAAATAAGAATGTCCAGTGTCCTGTCCTCTGATAGGCTGAGAACTAGTATCCTGTACTCTGGTTGGCTGAGAACCAGTATATTCTCTCCTGGCCACGCATCCTTATCTAACTTAGCTTAGCACAAAGACTTGAAACAGGTGGAAACAGCTAGCATGGCTCTGAAAAGACGGGGGGAAAGAAAAAGAATGTCCAGTGTCCTGTCCTCTGATTGGCTGAGAACTATTGTTGGCCCCGCCCCATGTGGGAGGAGTTAAACTGAACATAGTCAAACCCCGCCCCCCCAACGCCTCCTTGTCTCCGTCCGTTGCCCCCCCTCCCTGAGTCATGGCCCCCCCTCCCTGAGGTCCATGGCGTCCCCCTTCCTCTCCCCCCTCTCGAATTTCTCCCTCGCCCCCTGTGGTTTAAGGTCTGGGGTTTAAATGCCGCCTCCTCCCATTGGTCCTCGGTGCTGCAGCCAACCGACAGAGACTCCGCCATGGCAACGGTCGTCGGGCGTCCACCGGAACCCATGACTCCATAGGGCCACTTCCTGTGGCCGTGGTAACTGCGGGACGTGTTGCCGTTGTCCCCGGTGACCTTCGTCTTGGAGATGTCAAAGTGTGACGGAGAGCCGGGGTTTCTGGTGTTGTCGGGGTTCGAGAGCAACTTCATCTGAGAGGAGGATTACAATGTTATAAATACTAGCAAAACAAATGTAACTACTACGAGACATTATTTTACTATTAGACACACACATCTTTTCTACTTTGACAAGTATTAACATATTTTACTACAACTACTACTAAGGCTACTACTACTACAACTGTCCATAGTAATCTTCCTGTCACTATAAACGGATGTAACAACTAAAACAACAAATATTATTAATACTAGTGAAATGTTACAACTCGAACAAATCATACTAAAACTACGACAACAAATATCACTATTAGGCCTCAACCAACAGTCACTGGTACGTGTTTTTACCACTAAATCAACTATTCAGGTGTGAAATGGTAAATAAAACAGAGTACTCACTATAGGGTCGTTGTTGAGGGGGGGGTCCACCAGCAGCACGGCTCGCTGCAGACTGTCTCCACGGTCCTTCTTATGGCCTGATGGGAAACATTGAAATACTAGACGTTAGCATCAAAACAATAACAGTTTGAAGACTACATTACCCAGAAACCCTTTGTGCTGTTGCTTAATAATTAACACCAAACATTAAGGGATTCTCAACATTGTTTTTAGACTTATAAACTGACTTATAGACTGAGAAAAACAAAGTACATTTACTCAAGTACTGTGTTTAAGTATTTTGAGTAACGTGAGTAAAACTCCTGTATGTGTTGTCTAATGCCAAGAACAGAATAATATCCTTTAAATATCATTCTACTTTGTACACTTGAGTACAGTTAGCTGATAATACTTTTACTTCAGTAACATTTTGAGGTTGTAATAGAGTATGTTGAGAGTGTAGTAATAGTACTTTTACTTCAGTAAGGATGTGAGTACCACCTCTGATAAACGTACCATATCCAGAAACCACCACTTGTATGTTGGGGTTAGCATTAGCCACGTTAGCAGCAGGACCCTCCAGAGGAGCAGGGACTCGGCACGGACCCTGGCCCTGGGTTTTGTCTCCGTTTGTGGGTTGACGCTGCTCTGTGACCCCCTGGAGCTCCTCCAATGGGGGGGTCTGGTGAGAGGAGGGGGGGTACGGAGGGTAGGGTTGGGGGTAACCCTGACCCCGATATGATGCATTCTGGGGGGGATAAGCGTGCGTGAAGCTGGGGTTTCTGGGTAGGGGAACCTGGTGTTGTTGCCATTGTTGGTGTTGGGGAGGGGGAATGGAGGCTGGAGAGGGAGGAAAGGGAGGCTGAAGAGGGTAGGTTTCCTGGGGTCTGGGGGNAGAGGGGGAGGGGGAGGGAGGTTTGGGGTTCAGCTGGTAGGTTTGTTGAAGGGGGAGGAGGTATAAGTAGGGGGGGCACAGGGGGTGGGAGTAGGCCTGCAGAGAGAGAGAGAGGAGGGGTCAGAGTCTGTGTTCAGTACCAAAAGAAAGCTTGTCTAGAATTTGATTAACTCTTAAAGCGTCAGAAAATAAAACCCTCTCTCTTTTCCTCCGTACCCACATCTCTAAAAACGGGGGAACAACGGAGCTGATCCAGATTTGCGTCCGATATGACGTCATTACTAAAATGTGGGCGGGCTTTACACCCACGGGCCAATCAGAATCGTTGCTATCAGAAACAATGAGACGTGTTTGAGGTAATATGGTCTGTGTTTACATTAGCACGCTAACACTCAGAGCTAACCTGTACTGGAGAGAGCATGCGTTGTGTTTTTTTAAGCTACTGACCCAGAATCAGCACTTTTCTAACAGGGCTGACATAGAGGGATATGAGACATGGATAAAATGCATGATCTGTTTAGTATTTTTTGCAAAACACTTCATAGACATGTTTTTATATATATCTGAGACCCATAATATATGCCTTAAACTTGTGTAATCGGAGACCTTTAATATCGACGCTGTTGGAGTTTATTCTGTTGACTCACCTTGATGCCCAAGTTGAAGAAAAACTTTAGGATGTTGACATCTGCGGAAAAAAATATCAGAAATGATCTTTAACGCGTCGGAGCCGGTGTGAAAGATGTGATTTAGGGAAGTTTGTTTTACACAAAACACACATCTGCTCACCTTTAGGAAGATCCTCCCCCGTTCTGCTGGAGGAGAGGGGGGGAGTCGGAGCCGGATCTCCCGTCTCCCCCTCGGGGAAGCCGGGGTACAGAGGGTCCTCGTAGATATGGGAGTACTGGTAGGGGTGAGGAGGGGGAGGGAGAGAGGAGTCTGGGTGAGACTGGGAGGGAGGGGGAGGAAGATGAGGGTGAGGAGGGGGAGTTTGAGAAGAGGGGTGAGAGACAATATGAGAAGGAGACTCTGGGTGAGAATGAGGAGGTAAAGAGTGAAGCTGGGGGTGAGGAAAGGGAGTTTGGGAGAGAGGGAGAGAAGCTTGTGGGTGAGAAAAGGGAGCAAGAGGAGAGTCTGAATGAGGCTGGAAGTACTGGGAGGGGTGAGGAAGATGTGGGTGAGGAGAGGGAGAGTGTGTTTGGGGGGGAGGGAGAGAAGGTTGTGGGTGAGAAGAGGGGTGAGAGTCTAAGTGAGACTGGAAGTACTGGGAGGGGCGAGGAGGGGGAGAGGGGTGAGACTGGGAGGGAAGGAGAGAAGATTGAGGGTGAGAAAAGGGGTGAGAGTCTGAGTGAGACTGGGAGTAATGGGAGGGGGGAGGAAAGGAGTGAGGAGAGGGAGACGGAGAGTGAGTTTGGGAGGCAGGGAGAGAAGGGTGAGAGTCTGAGTGAGACTGGGAGTAATGGGAGGGGGGAGGGTGAGAGATAGTATGAGAAAGAGACTCTGGGTGAGACTGGGTGAGGGGGAGAGAAGGTGCAGACTGGGAGTAATGGCAGGGGTGAGGAAAGGGGTGAGGAGAGGGAGAAGGAGAGTGAGTTTGGGTGGGAGGGTGAGGAAGATTTGGGTGAGAAAAGGGAGCAAGAGGAGAGGGGTGAGAGTCAGAGTGAGACTGGGAGTAATGGGAGGGGGGAGGAGGGGGAGAAAGAGACTCTGGGTGAGACTGAGGAGGAAAAGAGTGAAGCTGGGGGGGAGGAAAAGGGTGAGGAAGGTGAGAGGGATGGGGTGGATTCTGGGAGGAAGAGAGAGAGGGGTGAGGATGGGTGAGAGAGGAAGGGATAGGAAGTGGGGTGTGGGAGATAATGGGAGAGAGAGAGGACTGGGGGAGATCAGACTGGGAGTTGGGGAGATACTGGAGGGTTTTGGGGAGAGAAGTCTGGGTTTGGGGGAGATACTGGAGGGTTTGGGGGAGAGAAGTCTGAGTTTCTGGGAGAGAAGTTTGGGTTGGGGGAGATACTGGAGGGTTTGGGGGAAGGAAGAAGTCTGGGTTCGGGGGAGAGAAGTCTGAGTTTGGGGGAGAGAAGTTTGAGTTTGGGGGAGAGAAGTCTGGGTTTGGGGGAGAGAAGTTTGGGGGAGAGAAGTCTGGGTTCGGGGGAGGATCTGTGATGCGTTCAGGAGCCCTCCGAGATTTGGAAGAGAATCTGAAAAGAGAAAAAATCGGAGTCAGAAAACATGGAAATAAATGAAAAGACCTGCATATTAAACAAAGTGTAATAAATACTAAAAGAGAGGTAACATTAAGATTCTGAGGTGGACCAATCATACAATGACTAGTTTTACTTTTGGTACTTTAACTATATTTTGATGATAATACTTTTCTACTTTCACTTGAGGAACATTTTGACTCAAGTCCAAGATCTGAGTACTTCTACTTTTACTCAAGTAGTAGGAGAAGACGACAGCCTTCACGTGGCCTCCTCTGTGAGTAGCAAGAGATGGTGCAAGACCAACTTGCGAAACGAATGTCGCCAACCAAACGTCGAGCTGGTAGGCCTAGGAACGGCGGACGGGCAGTCATCCCGACCGTCGATAACCGAGGCCTGGCAGTGCTTCAGCTCAATGTTGAGGGCCTAACCACCGCCAAACTCGAGGTTGTGCGTCACCTGGCTGATTCCAATGGGGCAGCGGCTGTGATCCTGCAGGAGACACACTGCACATCCGATAACATCCTTAAGATCCCTGGGTTCCATCTCGCTGGGTCCATCCACAGCAAGCAACACGGTGTGGCAACCTTTGTCGGGACTGAAGTAAGCTGGTCAACCAGTAGCCAATCCCCACCAGGCACTAACATCCAGGAAACATCAGTCATCAACGTATTTTACAAGCCCCCACCATCAGAGCTGTCTGCGACGTCACTCCAGTCAGTAACTGCACCCGCCATCTATGCAGGTGACTTCAACTGTCAGCACAGAGACTTGGGTTACAAACACACAACACCTAACGGAGCGGCGCTGAACGAATGGGCCTCCAACACTGATGCCCTGCTACTGTACGACCCCAAGGAGCCTTCAACCTTCTTCTCTGCACGCTGGAACACCTCCACCAACCTAGACCTGGCCTTCGCCATCTGCCGCAGTAACGACCCGAAACCGGAAAGGCGCGTCCTGGACAGGTTTCCCCGCTCACATCACCGACCGGCCATCATTAAAATTCCAGCACTGGTGCAACCGGTACCAGGGACACCTGTCAAACTATGGAACTTTCGAAAGGCCAACTGGGAGTCGTTTGTTGAGGAGACGGCAAGAAGGTCAGCTGGTCTGGTCTCTACGCAGCTTACTGCGGGGTCCTCCTGGGACCATTCCGTGTGGCTATAACAGGAAC